TCTCCTTCCATCTGCAGATCGGCCTGAGCCGCGAGCCCGTGCTGCTGCTGCAGGACTCGTCTGGCGACTACAGCCTGGCGCATGTCCGCGAGATGGCTTGCTCCATCGTGGACCAGAAGGTAAGGTGCCCCGGGCCCGCCAACTTTGCAGCCGGCCTTGGCCGCGCGGTGCAGCCTGGCGGTGGCCGGGGCTGCATGCCCTCACCCCAGGCACTGCTCTCCGTGCCGCGTAGTGCTCCCGGGACTGATCTCCAGCCGGTCTTCGCTGGTACGTCTGCCTCTTCTCCTCCTTTACCTCCCTTTCTCCGGTGACAGTCAAGGAATCTTGCACTTTTCTCCTCGTGCTCGGGCGTATTCTTGAGGCTTCCTGGCTGTCCGGACTCTTTGCTCTGGACCAGAGCCTACCTGGTGCTAGATCCGCTTTCCAGCGTCAGAGTTCCCTTGGGACAGCCCAGCGCATTTTCAGCACCGCTCCCTTCTACTCCATCCTCCTCTTTGAGCTCTAATTGATGCTGAGGAGTTCAGGGTGTGACCTGGACGCCGGGAATTTCTCACCTGTCAATAGTGCTTTTAAGAAAGGGTGATTGAGCAGGCCAGCTGTGAAAACAACTGAGCACTTAAGTGCACCACGACCCAAGTCCTCCCTGAATTTAGTACCACCTCCGTGTGAGCTTAGAAACATTTTCCAACAATAAAACCTGAAATTGACAGTCTTTCTGTAAATCTGGCTTCATTTTCCATGCACTGATCTTGGAAGACTGGAGTAGTGACGGTCGAGGGTTCCAGGAACACCCCGTGCTGGCTTTGCTCTTAAGTTTGAGGCTGTGGGACTCTGGATAGCAGCCACTAGAGTGGTTGCGGAAAGGCCCATAAAGCCGGGCTAGGCCACCCATCACTGTTTCCAGTGAACTTTTGAATTTAGGTTATCTCTGTAGCCATCCAGAAGGATACTTCATGGAAAGAGGCTGTTGAATGTAGTGGGGGAAGGAAGGGCCCCTGGCGCCACTCCTCACAGTATGACCAGCTAGGGTTCTGGGGGCAGGGGAGGGAGAGGTAGTTAAGGGTGCTGAATTTCAACCCCTGAGGACTGACTGGCTACTTCTCACCTTTTAATGAATAGTCAAGAGCAGATTTTCTTCTTAAACTGTTTGGAACAAAGTGTGCTAAAGTTTTTGAGCAGTGTAAATAGTGGCTGTGAGCGCAGAGATCCTAGGGAAGAGCTCCTGGGGAGCAGTCACTAACCCAGGAAGTGAAAATTCTAGGGGCAAGACTCAAGTGACAGTGAGTGCCTTGAAGTTTTGTTAATTAAAAGGAGTGACATTTTATGTCATGTAATTGAACTGTTTGTAGCTTCCTTGAAGTCTAAAGATGGTACCGAGTCCAGTCCCCCCTGTTCCTCAAGACTGAGAATGAACAAGTACTCTAGGCTCTGACTGCCTTATTATAGCCTTAAATAGTTGTGTGAGGACACTGACTAGTTAGTTAAAAAGCACTGCCACACAAGCATACACACCACGTGTAATGAATGACATTTCACACAGAGCCCATTCGATTCCATAAAATCTTTAACAGCAAATTCTAAAGAAAATGATATGGTGGGTTAGATTCATATGGGCAAACTTTGTTTGACCCACATAAAGTAACTCTTCCTCTGTCTCTGTCTCTCTCCTTGATGAAGTTTTGAATGCGGAACAACATGCATGGTTCAAGAGGTTTGGGTTGGGGTTTTGGCTGGAGAGTGAATTCCAGTTGACTTAGGGTACTGCTACCTGGAAAGGGTTATCAGTCCCTGGGGAGAGATGTAAGCCGGAGGACATATGGGATGCATCAGCTGGAACATCATCAGTAGGATGTGTAGGGAAGGTTCACTTAGGGAAAAAAAAAATCCTTGAGATGATTAGACAGTTACATTGTAAAAAACTCAGTCATCTTCCCAAGAGAGATAACCATACCAGGCATATCTGGAGTGCGCATGACTGAGTGCAGGGTGTTTCAGAATGGCAAAAATGTTACGGCAGAAAGAAAACTGGAGGACAATCAGGAGCTACTGAGACACGAGCCAGGACTGGGGGAGATCTGCAGGAGTGCTGGAAAGAGAAGGTACCAGCCCCACTGGCGCTTTCCATGTGGAGGAATCGTTCCCTCACTGTGTTTATCCTGTAGCTTCCTGACAAAAGAAAAGTTTGAAAAGTTTTCCTAGGATCTCAGTTTTTTTTTTCCCCCAAATGGTTAGGACAAGGTGAGAGATTTTGAAATGTGAATTTTTGTGTTTTGTATGTCCAGAATATTATAAGTAAAATATACTAGGCAACGGGTCCAGACAGTGTCTTTCCAGTTATTCTATTATCATCTAACTAGATATCAATCATCTGTCTATTATCTGTATCTGTCACCTATTATCATCTGCTGTCCCTCTATCTATCTATCTATCTATCTATCTATCTATCTATCTATCTATCTATCTATCTATCTATACAAATTATATAACTATCAGTCATCTATCTGTTATCCATCTACCTATACGTCATTTATTATCTATGTGTCTTCTGTGTCTGTTTTGTGATATGTTATTTTCCCAGGCAGAAACAAGGTTTAGAGGGCTCTGTTCTGTGTGACAGCAGGAGTGGCCAGCTTGCTAGTGTGGAGTAAGGAAGTGTGTGTGTGTGTGTGTGTGTGTGTGTGTGTGTGTGTGTGTGTGTGTGTATGTGTGTGGACTTTGGTGCTTTGTTTCATGTTTTCTTCTGTACTTTATGAAGACATTAACTGTGAGAAAGGATGGAGAGAGAGAGAGAGGAAGAGAGAGAGACAGAAAAAGAAAGGGAGAATGATGACTGAGGGAATACTAATGTTAAAATGAGTGTTTGGGGTAGCTGGGTTTCAAGTCATTTGCAGTTGAGCATTTAGGCTTTTAAAGAGAAGGGTCTCTTGATTTTCCTAGTCCTTCCCATTTACTGCTTCAATATCAGGAGTCTTCTCAATCTAGTCTATGTGCAGAAGCCCCTGAGTACTGACAGAGATGTCCCTAGCTTAACTTGTTGGAAGTGTTACCTGACAAGTCAGTAGATTTCAACAGTGTTGTTCATGGGACTTCTCTGTGGGATGAATACCTGAGGTGGACAGGGCTACATAGGAGAGCTGCTGTACCTGGGAAACTTGGCTGGAAGTTATTATTGATGTGTAGAACTTAACAATATAATTTTCCCTCAATTTGTAGGTTTAGAAAATATCAGATATGTGTTCATTCTTGAAGAAATTAGATGGTAATTCAACAGAAATTCTGTTAAGGTGTTATATCCTAATCATTTACTGAGTTATAAAAGTTACTTATATGTTTTTTTAATCTGATAGTTTAGAGTACTCTGAGATGATCTCTGTCGTTGCATGGAAGAATATATGACTATATAAGATGTTATTAGCTCTGTATTTTTGGGAAGCAGAGCTAAGGTGTGTCTTACAGTATTTATTCATTTAATGTCTTTACTTTGAATGTGTATAGCGTTGGAACTGGGTTATATGTGAAGATCTGTTCTTTAATCAGTATGCATGACTTCTGTTTTCACTTTGAGACCCTTTCGCTTTCTCCTGTCAAAGGAATGTTGACCACATAAGATGAGAAGGAATTGTCGTGAGGCAAGGATCAGCATCTCAGAAGATGCCTTAGTTTGGATGCATAGCAGGCTATGTAACTACCTTAGCATGCATGCACACAGGTACACCCCTACACTTAAAACACAAAGGGCGTTCAGTGAGTGATGTACAACTCAATTATGTGGCTTCCTGTTCATTTGGGTTTTATCTTACTAAAAAGACAGCTAGTGTTCCCCTATTGGGCACCCTTGCTTAGCATGATACCATTTATAAGACACCTGACCTAAATTTTACTTTTAACTCTGGTCTTTCTGGCTAAGGAATAAAGTGTGAACTTTTAAGTGGAAAACAGCTACCAAAGTAGCAATGTTAGTACCTTGGTTTGATAGTGTCATTACTTTGCTTGCCTTTGTTTTACATTCTTAATTGTATATTGTTTTCTTAACAGTTGCTGTGCCCCTCTTAACCCCTACAGTTAATTTTAGCCACTCCACTTTTACACAGGTTGAGAAAGCTAGAAGTAATTAGCTGGAGGGTCACCCCAGGGTGTGGAGACAACAAAAACCTTTTAAACTAATGATAGTCTTTGGTGTATATTTTTATTCTAATTTTGTTTTTGGACATAATGTATACTACTAATTTCTGATTCAATGATAAAGTCTAGAATTTGGCATTTTAATAGGTGATTGTTAAAAAAAACCGTAATAACATGCATTTCCAATTTAATGTTTGTTTTCAAGCTTAGTAACATATGTACTAAGATTTCCTTGGGGTTATATAGTATATTGTGACATAAAGGCCATGTACAGGTTAAGTATTCTTTATACAAAATTCTTGTGAACGGAAGAGTTTGGGACTTTGGGTTCTTCTGGATGTTGCAATATTTATAACATGAATAATGAGATATCTCTGGGATTAAACCCATGCTTAAACGCACACTTTATATTTTATTTATACTTTTAGTATTTCCATTCATTTTGACTGGTAGTTGCATAGGGGCAGGTGTGTAATTTTCCTGTTGTAACATGTTGGTGCTCAAAAAGTTTCACTTAGAAGATTTTGGATTAGGGTTGCTCAGCCTGTGTGCACATTGTTTAGGTGTAATGTATACAAGTGTGCAATGAATTCATAATACTTCTGAAGCATAAATGAAGAGCTGGTTATTTAGATACAGCTTACAGATACTGAAGTACTGTTTCGTACTTTATAATGCGGACATCAAAGATGTGTCAACATTCTCTCGCAGGTGTAAACTGTCCTAGATTTCACAGGAAGAATCTTCTTTGAAATCTGACATGGAAAACAGCCTTACAGGCTTTATGGTAGTAAGAGTTGGACAGTATATGAATTAACGTAGGCCATTAGATTCAAGTTCAAGATATTTTAAAGAACATGGTTGTAGTGTGTAGAGGGGTTGTGGCTACATGGATTAGAGTAGAAATTACTCTATTTAATTTAAATTTAAAGCTTTCCCAGTAATACCATACTTAATGACAGTTAAGTTGTGCTTAGTTTTATGTCAACTTGTCACA